CCTTTTAAAAAGGGATCTTTTATTTTTATTTTTGGCCAACTCACTTTCATTTTCCTTCACCAGTTCCACTCTATGCCTCTAAACAAAACTCGAAATTTCTTTCAACCTTTTGTTTTGTTTCTTTAAAAATTAGTGTGAGTTTTAGATCAAATGGTGATTCGAAAATTTCTTCACTACACTCAAAGTGAATAGGCAGAATATTTATTGCGAGAAAGCATCAAAATCAAATAAGCATATCAGCTTCTCTATTATGCAGTTGAGGGTTTTTATTTTTTTTTTTGGAACAACAAATAACGAAACTATCAATATATCTTTCCACCCAATGACATCCAAAATTTACTTTTTGTGTATCCAAAAGCAATTAATGGTCTCGATTTTGCAAGTTACGCACGACAGGTATTGTCATTCATGCGTGGTTCATTTGGTGGGGCCGGAGGAGGGCAGAGATTTATTAGTTCTTCTAATGGTAACACAGACACAAGCATTTTGCTTACAAAATGGGTTTTCCTAACTTTCTGTGGTCCAACACGTCCTCATGAACCAAATCCAAGTCCTTTCTGCTTGCTATTTGCAAACCAAATTCTTGCAAACTCGTGAGTCTTAATCATTCATATTTCTGTTTTGTTCTTTTTCGTCCAACAAGAGGGAAAGTCCAATTTCAGCTTTAGAAACATGGCATTAAATAAACAAGAGAAAAAAGATCGAGTTCAACTTCCGTATGGAGATGGAGCTACGATAAAGAGAGTGTATTAACTATTAAGACAAAAGACATGTCCTATATAATTTATATGAGTAATTCATTTCCCTCACGTAACCAAACACTACCATTCGGTTAGTATTTTCTAGGAATGAATGATTGCATGAATTCTAAAGAACTCCGACTCAGAGATATTTACTTGACGAAAATATAATTTTATTTGATAATAATTTTTTTTTAAATAAAAATACGAGATCTTAAATTTACATAGTAAAAAAAAGATATCTCTCAGTTACCTTTTAATATAGTTCATCGCCTTTGAAAATTTTCAACAATAATAACTAAATAAATGCAGTATAGTTTAGGATTTTGAATTTTTGATTAGCTTATGGGAAGGTCAAAGGAACCAGAGCCAGCACATACACAGGGAAGGGTACAGGGTGAGCAATTATTAGCTTCTTTCAACGTCACTGTGAACAGTGAAGGCAACAAGAGATTAGATTAGAGAGGGGTGGTGGCGGGCTTTTGTCTTTTGTGGACTGTTTTTTTTTGTTACTGACAGTGTGGTCGGTGATGCGTCTATCAGTCCATGTACATCTGATATATATGGCCACCTAAGATGAAGGGATTGATATGTTTTATTGTTACTGACAGTGTGGTCGGCGATGCGTCTATCAGTCCATGTACATCTGATATATATGGCCACCTAACATGAAGGGATTGATATGTTGTAGGTTTTTTGTCTCATGTTTAAATAAAGATATAATAAACATTCTTTTAATTAATTTTTATTAAAATATAAATATTAATTTTAATTTAATTAATTAATTGAAG